TATATACTCTTCAATTAGTTTTTCTTGGTTCTACTCAGAGCTAATGAACATGTAAGCTAAAGATGAACTGCTAAATAAACATTGAATTCTAAATAGTCACATAGCCTTCCATGTATATAATACAGATAAAAGTAGATATTTAATGTCTGATTTTATAAGGTGAAATTCTGGTCTTCCCACGGTCTGTGGTTGTGAATTAAGGGAACTGCAAGAGTACTGCAAGAGTAGAGGTAACACAGTAGATTAAAAAAAAAAAAAAAAAATTCTGACTTCTTAGTTTGTATATGCACCAAACGCAGGCATTTCAACAGTAAGGTTCTGCCAACATCCACAAACTTTTCTGAACAAACAGACGACTTATTATGATGATGCTAAATGAGGAAATACAATTTAAGAATTTATACAGAAGATACATATCATATTTTAATAACCAAATTAGGTCTCTATCAGAAATCACAGCAAAATATATTTAAAAGTATAAAACAAACATGCATTAGGATTTTAATAATTGGAAGTTGGGCACTTCACAGACAAATGTGCTATATAGCAACAAAGCACTAAAAATGGAAAAAAAAAGAAAAAAAGAAAAAGTCATAGAAACTGTGTGATCTGAATGTCGTGCCTTTCCAAAATTGATAAATTGAAATCCTAACCCACAAAATGATGGATTAGGAGAGGGGGCTTTTGGGATTGGATTAGGTCATGAGGGCAGAGCTTTTATTAATGGGATTCCTGTCCTTATAAAAGACACACCAGAGAGCTCTCCTGCCCCTTGAGGACACAAAAAAGAAGGTAGTGATCTATGAACCAGGAAGCAAAATCTCACTGGACATTGAATGTGCCAGCCCTTGGTCTTGGACTTCTCAGCCTAAAGACGTTTGAGAAATAAGTTTCTGTTACTTACAAGCTACCCAGTTTATGGTATTTTCATATAGCAGCCCAAATGGACTAAGACAAAGACAAAAGAAAATGTATTTTAAAAACACCAAATGCTTTATTCTTTTCTAAGTATTAATAGTATCAAATCTATTTTAAGAGTAAGTTTAATAAAATATTAATTTTGGTATGACAGTATAGATAAAAACTTAAAGCACATGATAATATTAGATATTACTCATCAATTAGTTAAGGTAGAAGAGTTGTATCCAGGTCTTAACTATTATAATCAGCTTTAACAATCAGCTTTAAGAAAAATCTATCATTATTTTTATAAATTATACTAATTTAAGATCTACTCTTCACAAAAAGAATAAAGCTTATGTACTTTCAGGATGTGTAACTATATTCTTTTCAGTTCTACTTGTAATATTTTGCTTTTCTAGTAACATGAGAAGCCTGGATAATTAAACAATAAACGTTCATTTGACTTTTTAAAATGGACAACTGAAACTGTCGCCCCCAAACAAATATGCTTCAGTCATGAAACGGCAAATTCAAGATACAATAAGAAAAATGTTCTGGAAATACAACGGTCAAAGAGAAAGACAAGGTTTCTGCCCTCATAGAGCTTACACTCTACCAGGAGAAGTTAACATTAAGTATAATCACAAATACAAATATGTAATTACAATTATGATGACTTATGAAGGAAAAGTACAAGCCTCCAATCAAAGTGCCAACATTAGCTGATAATTATTAACTTGTACTCCTGAGCTATTAACCAACTATTATGGCTGGACTTTCACGTAAAACATATTCTGACTTTTTTGTAATTTAAATATTCATTCTTGACAAGCCATCAAAGTAAAATATAAATAAATAATCAAAGCAATTATTGGAACAAAGTGACCAGTTACGCATACATAGCAAAAGAAACAAGAATAAACAAAAAAGACATACTTAATTCAAGGCAAATAGATAAACATAAATTCTAAATAGAAAGGAGAATAAAATTAGCATTATCAATGATCCTAACAACATCACTGACAAATTCCAAGACAAAAAAAAAAAAAAAAATGTGATCCAAATATCATGAACACTATTTGAATCCATCTACCCACAACTAGCAAAAGTAAGGTTGGCTTTGAATAACAGATCTTCAGCTGCCCCAAAGAAAACTATAATTCATTCAAATAAAGTTTATTCTTAACCATATCCAGTTAAAGGTGACACATCTTTGTTTAGGGAATGTAAAAAAAAAAAAAAAAAAACAAGCAGCAGATTGACTCTAAAGTCTGAAACTGGATGACTAATTAAAAATAGGAGGCACTGTGGCCTATGAGAAGAATGAGAAGACTTGTGTTTCATTCATTGTGATTCTGCCAGCCCATAGCAGTGGTCTCTACCATGTCTCCAGCTGACTTCGCCATTTTTGTCATGTACACTGATAAGGGGTTTTGCAGTTTCCAAACCCTGAGTTGTTATGGAGCACAGAAGGATCAACACCAACACTGTAAGGACACATCACAAAGTAAGACCAGTGCTTACCTTGAGAGAAAGGACTTGAGAGGAGGATGAAGAAGGTTATCAAAAGGAATGTTCTTTTTACATGTGTTACTCATTTTTTAATGAAATATGTTAATCACTGGACATTTAAAAAGTTAGAAAATATTTAAGAATTCATACAGAACAAATCAAAATAATGAAGATGTTCTTGAATTTTTTCTAGTCTTTTTTTTATCCCCCAAAAAGAAAGACATTAATCCACAAAACTTCATTCCAGATCCCCTGAATTCACTACTCACACAAGAGAAAAGTGGGAAAATTGAGAAAATTGCTCCATGATTATATTGAGATGTAAAAATTTAGGAAACGTAAGTTTACACTGTAAATCATTTATTTAAACTGGCCAGATTTAACCCTGATTTTATACACAACTAGGATTTAATTCCATATAGGAAGCTACAATGTAAAGTTTCTAAATTATTTTTTCTAGATTTTTTTTTAATCCCTTCAACAGATGGCACCAGGTGGGGATATTCACATAAGAGAGACTTGGATCGATGTTATGTTTGCCTTTTTCTGAATTCCTAGTTCACTTTGTACCACTATCATAGCATTTCCATTCTGTCATTCATTCTAACTTGCCCACATGTTTTCATTTCCTTGTTACATGAACACTCTTTGAATGTGGATGCCATGTCATAGTCATGATTGTATTTTTGCTCTAGAATAGAGATTTATGGAATTAATCTGCCATTAGAGATTTACAATCACCTTTCTCACTTCTCTACATCTAATTAAACAATATGTAATGGGTAGCATTCTGATTTGCAAAATACTCAAGTCCATCTTAAAATCTTCTTCCTCCATTGAACAGCAAAAAGCATACTCATCCCGATAACAGAAGAAGAATGCAATGAAAAAATCAAGTTCCTGTCCTCTGTGTCTTTGTGCTGATTGAGGAATACAATCTGAGGAAAACTGGTGAAGTTAAAATATAATGTTTGACACACATGCCAACAGAAAACATTTAAGACTGACATAGAAAAACTGAATAAAGTTAAGTGACACTTAACATTAAGTACACCAAAACAAATAGCAGCTGAGTATAAACATGAACTACTCCATATGTAGAAAATTGTTGTATAATCTAAAAATTATTTTAAGAGTTACTTTTCACAAAATAGCAAATATAGGAGTGTATATACTTACAAATTGTGTATTTATACATGCATCCATACAAATACACATATGTATATATACAAACACATACACATATATTTTATTCAGTCAGTAAGATAAAATATGTTCTTCCCTCTATGCCATCCTAAGTCCACATAATAAAGAACACGATGAGAAATGCCCGCTTAAGAGAAGGCAGTGGATGAGATTTTGGCCTCAATTAAAAACGTTTAGAAAGCCCTCAAAATGTTACACAAAACTTCTAAAATAATTGATACATACTATCATTTGCATAGTTGCTAGAGGCTTAATATGAGATTAAATTATATTATTGAAAATAGCTGACCAAAACAAAAACTGTGATAACCTATGTTGTTGGATCAAAGTATTCAAACAGCATTTGTTTCTAAAGCTCTATTTTACACATTTAAAATTGATATCATTTCTTACATATTGCCTGGCTCATGTTCAGGTGCTTTTTCAAGCAGAAAAGTTTTGCTGCTAGATGACACAAACATAAGGGTGTAGAACTGTGGACTGTGGTCCCAATTCACCAGATTAACATTGAGAACATAAGAAAGAATAAAGATATTCCTGCATTTAAACCATTAATAATAATTAAAAATAGAAACTAAATAGAAACATTCACTAATACACAGTTAAAAATGGTTGATTTAAAGACTGTTCTATATGTTCGCCACAGCTGCATACCACTTTCTTCCTTTTAGTGACAACATTAAACACAATGAGGATGGTTTTAAATGGCAAATTACACATACTTCTGGATTTTGTACCAAGACCATCAAAGAGTACACATGCCTGACTTACCAAGCAATGCGGGTATGCATAGCTAGTTGATATGTCTTTAAAACAAAGTAAGTATGCATAAAGAGAAATGTCTTTCTCCTCTTTTGACTCTTTCTTAATATTGCCTTTTTAGGTTACTACAGTGTTCATGTGCATAAATGGAATCTAGCAGACAACAAGGTGATGCGCCCACAGCAGTACCATTTCAGTGGTGCATATGCTTAGACTTATGTCTCAACACAGAATGGCTGGGGCAGGTGTGCTCCAGAGCTGAATGTTTGAAGATGATATATTTACAGTTCCTAGACTTATTTAACTACCATTAAACGATACTGCAAAAACTGACTCCAAAGCCTGCAGCTAATTTCTAAATATACTAACTGTGTGAGCACCTCATATGAAAAAGATCACTCTAAAGAGAAAAAAAAAAAAAAAAAAAAAAGGTGGGGGCAAAAACAGAAGCATATTGATGAATTTTTCTTACCGTAAATTTATAAAATATTTATTAACACATATACCTACCTCCCAGTGCCCATTACCAATGCCAAAAGGTCTAAATACATTTACATAACTCAGACACACTGTAATTCATACTGATGATATTAAGAAGAAATAAAATAATGTAATACCTTTACTTTTACCTATGGATTTGATGAAATGGGTCCATGAAGAAAGGGTTTCCAGACAAAGAGGATAAAGAGGAGAAAAACAACAATAAGAATTATGAACATATGTAAAGTCACTACTCTCTGAAAATTAAACGAGACAAGAAAGTATAAACAAGGTTTTGAAGACAAATGGTGGCGCAATCAGGACACATTGGGAATTCTGCCTGTTTTGAAGTCAAGTACATGCAAAAAATTGAATGGCCCATGCTCAATTTTTAAAAGATCACACAAAAGAGAGACACAAAATAAATCTACGGAAAGTGTTGATTCTGTGGAACACTATACTCAGCATTCTAGAAGCCAGAAGCCAAAGATGTCTGCGTGTCCCCAAACTGTCATGCATGGATGAAAAATGGACTGGTTTTTTGGATAGAGTGGTTTAAACTGAGGATCTTCTTTCAGACAGCAATTTCTGATGGTTCCCGGTTATCCTTTACCATAACCACCCTTTACTGCATATGCTGATAAATATACAGAAAATTTCAATCACAATTTCTTATGTCTCATTTATTTGCAGATATTATAATGCAAGAAATGAAGGAAAATAAAAAAGTCACATGAACAAATCAAAATCAAACCAACAAAGAAAGGGAAGAAAAACACATGAAAAAATGTGAACGAAAGATATGTATTTCATTTGCAGCCACATAATTTGCAAGCATTTGCCCATCCTTTGCAGTGATGGTTTGAAAGCAGCTACAGAACAAGAAAACACTGAAAGCAGAGTGGAAAAGGAACAGAGCCCATACCTTGGTCGCCCATCATCAGGTGCGCCAGACCTTGAAGGGAAACAAGAGCACAGTCAGCAATAAACAAGGGAGCATGGGAAGGCAGGGTTGTCACGGTGACAAAAATGTTCAGTGACAGACATCTCATTTCCTATGAGACTTGTCTGTATCACAGAGGCAAATCAAAAAGCATTCTTTCAACCCCTGGTTGGAATGCTTTGGGGCAAAGTGTTCTAGAACTGCATTTTAAACACTGGCATATGCTGCACGGTGTATTTCTTCCATGCATCAGTTGGAACAAGCAAGAGCACAAGAGCATGACTTAAAATCCAACCAATCCCCTCAATATTACATCTGCCCTCTGTGCCCTTTGATGAGACTGTTTTGAATATTGCCCCCACAGGGCTTGTAATTCTTCAGTGATGAAATTACACTTTTTAAAACCCAATGGAATACCTGAAACATGGGCTGGGTCTGATCTTTTTCCCCTCATCAAAAAATGAGCAGTCTTATAATTAAATGAAGAAAAAAAATTGTAGTCACACTGAAATGATAATGCAGAAATGTCTTTTTGTCTGATACATATAGCGACTGACTAGGCTTGTTCAAATACAAAATGATCATTAGACATGCAGTTGTAAAGTTAGAATTTACTACAGAAAGGGGTTTTTAAGAAACAATGGGTCAGCTGCAAATATGCTAAAGCAATTTTCTCAGAGAACAAAATTATTTGAGATTTCACCTAGACATTTCTTCAATGCTGAATTCTAAGTGTAAAGATATATATTACAGATGTAATTTCACCAAGGAATTTTTAAAGGGACATTGAAATCCCTTTATTTATTTATTATTTCCTGCTTGACAATTCACTTCAAACTTGAAGAGCACTCTTCTTCTAAAGAATACTACTAATATGCTTTCAAAAATTCTTTTGCTATTCAAGAAGTTACTTTTTACTGAAAGGCATAATTCCTACCTTTTTATCTTAAATTCAGAAATAAAGCTATTTTCCTATCCATGTATATGTCTAAAATATGGGAAATTGTTAGAGAAATATACATACATCAATTTTAATAAACTTGTATTTTCAATTCCCAGTGCTATTTCAGAAACTTTATTTGAGCTATATAACATCACACATTGTTTTCATCAGTATTTAAATTATCTGTGTTGTTTTCTTAAAATTTTAGGGGTATTCAAACATCTCTGTAGGCTAGATATAATTATAAAAAATCATCTAATCACAATATAATATGAAAGTTATTAAACATAGTAGTTTGATGCCTCTGAACTGTAGCCTCTCTGTATTTTCTGAGTGATTTTAACAAAAAGCTCACATAGGCAGATTCAACAGCTTATGATCTATTGATAATTCATGGTGTTTTATATGCTGATAAATAATGGTTTATTTGTCCAGGTTATATAATTTTTCATTTAATTTCACTTTTAAAACTACTATAGGTTTTTCCAAATAACAAGTTTTTATGGACTAAATGAGGAAATTGTCTTGAAGATCTACCTTTTAGGAAATATATTAGGTACTTCTAACGGTTTTGATGCTACATCAATAAGGATGGAAACTCACTAATCCCCAAAGAATTCACATTCTTCCTGCTAGACTTCCTACCTGCACTGTAAAGGTTATATTATAGATAGAAATATTAAAATTATTATTGAATAGACTTTATTACAATAGCTTATGGGCCCTATATTCTACAAATCGTATCAAAACTTTGCATGAGATGAGTGTGTGTGAAAAGAGAGAAGCATTCATGTTAATTAAGCTGATTTTAAAGCCTCTTGGAATGTAACAGGATTTTAAGAGAAAAGGAAAGTATTTCACAGGATGGTTAAGGAAATGCAAAATAAGTGGAAAAGATACCTTTAAAGAATAACTTTTAAACTCAGTTGACATGCACAATATAAATGAGACTGATTTTAAAAGATATTAAGCCTGCAGGGTAATATATCATTTTTATCAAGTATATAATCACATGCAATTAAAATTATAGTATAGAAAAACAGAAGCCATATATGGATACAACACTTGGAAAATAATCATTTATGATTTCTTTTGAAGTTTTAATCTATTTTATTTAAATAACAAAACAGAAATGTTCAGCAGCTAAGCAATTATAATATTATCCATGTAAGAATGACAAATAAAATGTTTATCCCTGCTACTGGTCAACTTTGAATTACCATCAAGTGTTCTTTGTAGATACATGAAGTCTTGGCAACCTTAATGGCTATTTGTCTGTAACCTGGGATAGGGAGTCTTTTTCTAAGAAATCCTTCATTCTATAGAAATGTACATTTACAGAATAACTATATTTCAAAACATGGTAGCAAAATAAAATATACTAAATGCTGCCTTCTCATATATAAATATTAGTAAATTGTTTATGCAAGAACTATTAATGCTGTGAATATATAAGTTGATAGAACATATATAAGTTAATAAAACCTTCCCTTTCACCATTCTTTTGTTATGCCTAGTTCTTTTTGCACGTTAACCCTTTGAAGATTTGTTTGTAGCACACTGACTAATGCATTTAAGTTCTTAAAAAATGAGAATGTTGAAATATGTTTTAATTTGCTGAATTCTACAGGAAAATATATAAGCTATATAAATTCTTCAAAATTCTGTGATAGAGATAATTTTTTATAAAAGCTTGAATAAAATATTTAGCAGGCAAAACATATTACAAATATACTTACCAGTAATCATATCGAAGTGCTGTATGCTTTCATTTCCACTGAACAATGGCTTATTTTTTAACCTAAATTTATGTCTCTTACTTATACTCAGTATTTTATTGCATTCTTTTTATATATCCAATCATTTGAAACAAACCAGTGGGCTTGAAATGACATAATGCTAAATTTTCCCAACAGAATAGAATAAATCATTTTGATAAAAAAAATGGAAAAAGGATCATGCACTGTCTTATGAAACTACAAAGAAATATTTTGTCTTTTAAAGTAAAAAAAGCAGCATTGTATCATTTTTCTCATACAGAACACTGCAATAACTATTCTAAGGTTCATATGGGATGCTGAGATCTATCAAGGGTTGAAGTTAAGCTTGAAAAAGTTTCATATACTTGGGATGGCAGGGTTGAGAATGTATATGTTCTGTACAAAAAGTGATACACAATTCAGAAACCAACAAATGTTCAGAAAGAAGTTCAACTTACCGTCTAACTTCAAGGTGTACTCTATTAGCACTAAGAAATAAAGGACAAATGAGAGTTGGAAAAATAAGGTAGAAAGCACCCACCTTCCACATTGTTGTCTTCTGAAAGCGCATGACAAGGAGGGAGAGAAAAGGAAAAACATTCATTAAGCAGCATGCAGACTGGACCTTGCCTTTGCATGTCTTCCTCATGCAAGGCACCAAACACATCATGCAAGTGCTCCATCACTATCATTCAAGGGGGAAAACAAAATCACAGGGGAGCAGATTCCCTCCCATTGGCAGCATTGATAGGAAGTGAAACAAACTTTCATAATACTGCCATATCCTCTGCAAAGAGCTTTAAAAAAATCTTTCAACTGCCCAGTATAAAGAAAATATTACTGTTATTACATATTGCTGGTGTGGTCTTTCTAAGCAACTATTTTTAAAAGCTGTTTTGTTTTCTTTTTAACAATTCTAAAAGGTTCTATTTTCATATACTAATTTGGAGTTAGATTTTAAGAAGGCTATTGGAAAAAGCTATGAAATTTGACTTAAAGATATTCCAGTTCTACCAAATATATTATCCATATGCCATTACTGCCTTTTAGTATTTCTAATACCTCAATTGCTTTCCTTAAATAAAAACAACATAGCTTTAAGCAACTAAAATCTGTAATTTATTTGGTTAATTTAGAGCATATTAATATTTTATGGCAAATGAGAATAGTTTATTGTAATTTATAAAAATGTTAACTTTTAAAAATGTTAGTTAGAAAAAGTGATCATTGGAAGAGAGGTCCACTGGGAACTGTCCATTAGGCAAATTGGTTTGTCATGATTTAAAAACTTTGTACTTCTGTTTAGGATGTGAATATGAATTTGTTTGAGACAATGAAAATATTTACCCCAATTTCTATTATATTTCTATATATCTATAAAATACCTACATATTTTCATATATTTTATTAGTCATATTTCCATGTGTGTACCTATGTGTGCATGTATAAACACATATATCCAAGCAGATTTGTATTTTCTAAGATAATAAATAAAAGTATATGAGGTTTAAAGCACTATTAGCACCTACTGGAAAATTCAAGTTCTATTTGAGATGCGGGGCCTGGAATCCAGGCAAAAAAAAATGGAAGGGAAAGCGGTCTTAGGATACTAGGGCAAGAGCAAGGTTCAGTACTTATTGAAAATGTTCTAATAGTAAACTCTGCCCATGTTGACATTTTAGTCTCATCCTTATTTTTTGTTTAATTAACTGTACTTAATACAGTCATCATCTGATCAATAGTGTTTATAAACATGGCAACATGCAAATATAGAAACTTGAAAGCAAAAACAACTAAGAATGTACCATTTTATTAGGTTCAACTAAAACCTTTTTAATTGGATAAAGTTACTAGTGAATTAAAAATCAACAATTTTATTTAAAACATTTCAGCTGAAAATTGAAGTATCAACACAGGCATATTTACTGATGTGGTGTTAGCATGTAATAGAAAATAGCTAGTGGCCAAATGTGGGTAATAACAACTTTACACAATACTTGGTTTTCCAGAGTTTCTTTTTAAAGAAACAACAAAAAAAGTTTCAAATATTTGGTTTGTGATCTTGACGTCTAGTTTGTTTGTTTGTTTTTTGACTTCCAATTTATTAAATAAGGAATTAGGCTGAATTTGTCACTTTTCAGTGGTGACTTGATGCTACACAAACACAAACACTAAAGTTTTGTTTTACTGCATTACATTGGACATAATACAAAGATATAAATCATTGTAATGTTTAAGATATACTTTACCTGTATTTAACTGCCCTTTGAAACTGTATTTTCTGTTTAAGATGCTTATTTCTTAAAAAGATTATTTAATGTGTATTGCAAAATAATAAAATCAGGGAATTTAGAGGAGAGTCATGTGCCAAGACAGTCTGTCAACTGCTACAGCATAATTCAATTTCTGTAAACAAAAGACAGGTAAACATGGTTATGAGTAGCAGTGCCTCGGTAGAAATTTTGGTAAAGTGTGGCCTAAAACTATAATTTAAAAAAGGAAAGAAAAATCAACAAAATGCAACAGGCCCAGGCTTGACACCAACTTTGGGAATGTACTACGTCGGATATTATAAAAGGAGTTCAAGGTCACTGATTCAGTCCTGACAGCGAGTTCTCCTTTCATGACCATAGGTACAAGCCTAGGTTTTGCCATGGATCCTACTCTAGCATCCAGCATTTTTTTCTGAATTCTTATTCATAATGAGAACAAGCTTAACAATGGGAATTCCTGAATACAACCCAAGTCATGCTTAATGTGTAAACAAATTCTGACTCGACTAAGTCCAGAAAAGAGGTTTGCCTCAGAAGATTTAGATTTACCCAAAAAAAAAAAAAAAAAAAAAAATCAAAGTGCTAGAATAAATGGGTGATATATTAACCACTATTTTAAAAAATAGATGATGATGATGATGAAGACAACTGGCTTGGAACAGACTTTCCTTGAGTTTCTATATATTTTCAGATTCAATCTGAGAATAAAAATCCTCTTTCCTATTCCATTCTATTCTATTCTGGTAACCATTTGCTAACTTTACATAATTTAAAACTTGTTAACCTAAAGAAAATCCCTACATTATTTCAGAATTTGGACATGATTATAACTGGTGGTAGCTCCAGCATTTACAACCTTTCTCCAGGTATTTTTTTCTCTTCTCCTTCCTTTCCATTTTATTTCTGTACTAAACAATAAATGTCAAGTCAAAAAAAGAATAGTTTATCTCCTCATAACAACTTTTTCTTTATCTTTGTGAATTCTTATACAAACAAATGCTACTTTGCTTTTGAGCAGCAACAAAGACAGGTGCTGAATTTTGGCATGCCACGGTGTACAGGTAAAGCAGCATATTTTGGTTTAGTGTAAGGTAGAAAGCAGTCCATCCGGCCTTACCTGTGGACACTGTCAAGTTAGGGGAAATCTCTTGGTTTGCAGAAAACCCTGGCTTCTTAATTCTGCTGACCTAATCCTTGCTGAGTAAATGAAGTGCATCTCTTAATCATCAACTTTACTACGATGACCATGCCACCTACAAAGATCACACTCTTGTTTTCTTTTGATTGGAAAAATAATGAATATAAAGCTGTGGAAAACATATTTTACATTTTATTTTTCTTTCAGATAAGATGAACTTCTCTCACAAAGATGGGAATTAGGCAACAGAATATCAATCATGCTATGAATAATGGCTGTGTGCAGACAAGAAGGGAAACAGCAGCCTGTTTTTAAATCACTGTAAAAGAGCATCTCCACAAAATTTTTATCTTTGGCCCCCAGCTTATAAGAATGCAAGGACAGTAACCTTAGTTTATCATTCCAGTGTTCTTTGCACATACTCTTAAGTATATGGTTCTAGGAAAAGAAATGAATACGAAAACAAAAGTGCTTGTTTCAATATAAAGAAAATCATGACCAGTAAAAAATTAAAATTTGGAATAAAATATCACAAAAATCTCCTTTCTGTATAATCAGTGTTTAAGTTTGGCAATATGTAAGTCGTTCTCTAAATGTACAGCCAGTGGTCCATTTAGTACTACAGCTTACATTAAAAAATGGTCAAAAGAAGCTTCCTGATACCACTTGGGCATTCCTTTACCTCTTTGATTTTTGGTTTTCTTCCTTCCCTGCCAGCTGCCTGTGACTGTCTCCCCTCATTTTCTTTGATTCCCTCTCTCCTCCATCAAAACTGCCAGTACTGCAAGTAGCTTCTGCCCCAGATACAAGCACTCCAAGGTAGGGCATATTACAGCAAAACTGGTGGTGGTAACAGGCAGTTGAAAGACAGATGAAGAATAAAATTCTATTTCCTTCTTCCATACAGGGAGCTTGCTAACTTCTATCCACGTCTCTCTAGCCCATCACATTACTTCTCAAGCCTGTACTCCTCATTTTGGAGATCAAATGCCAGTACAGCAGAGTTCAGTTCCCATGGTGGCACAGGATGGAGCTTTGTTTTTTTTGTTTTTTTTGTTTTTTTTTTTCCTTTTGGTATTAGCAGTGAAAGCCTTTAGAAAACCTCAGTAGTCTGGGAATGCTTCAAGCACTGGGAAATGCAGGAAATCACTGAGACTGTGGATTAAAGCAGCAGTCAGCTGAAGGAAGAGAAATGCGGGCCAGAACCAAGAGGACGTTCAAAGAGAAAATGAAGCATAAAGGTCCATTATGGAGACTTAGGGAAGGAAATAAATGGCCCTGGACAGGAATTGGGCTAATTTCAAACATGCTTTTTAACAGAGGACATCACCTCCTTTTTCAATCCCACCTAAATAATATTCCAAGACACTCCCACCCAGCCTGCTTGGAGTCCTTGTCCTAGGGAATATATGTAGTCAACTACAACAGCCAGTTTTTTTCCTTCTTCACTGCTCAGGAATAAAAAAAGTATATCTAAACCAGATACAGCAACACAGATGTTCCTGGCATCACACCACAAACAGTTAAAGAAATTTCTCCAAAAAATATTTTGTTACAAAGACATTTGTGGTATTTAATTCAAAATGTTCTATCTTGTTAATGACAATTAAAAGAAATAAGTAAAGAGAAAAAGAGAAAGGGGGAAGAAGGAAAGCAAGAAAGCCTAAAGTTATCACAATTTATAGTGATTAAGCTATTTGATAAACCTAATTTAGTATTTGTTAGTCAACGTATTATAATATAAATCAAATGACTCACATAAGCTGTAATGAATGTGATTTCAAATTTTCATGAGGAACTACTACAAGGATTTTAAAATTTGTTTTGCTTTGATAACCTCAGTTCTTGCTCAAGTCTAAATCTTGAGAGTTAACATTTCAACATTCATTTCAGTAGTTGGACTTAGGAAGGAACACTGAATTTAACAGTGACTGTAAACATGGTGACAAGCACAGTCTACAGTATATGTGCTCACACCACCCATTTTTATTTTTTATTGCTAACAAATGAATGCTTCCTGATATGGAATTGACAGATCTGAGCAGAGTGCTTATCACATACCCTCCAGACCAAGCTTAATCACTGCTACACAACTCTCCTAAGAAAGGTGGCTCAGGTGAGCAGTGCTTTCCTTTCTAAGAGTTTGAT